TCGTTCTCTCCTCTATGATTTTTTTCTTGGGTTTTTCGACGGAAGTATATTCGTCGAATCAAAATCCCTACTTTTACGGCAGTGATGATAAAGTTTCTTACTTTTATGTTTTTGTTGCAGGAGCTGCTAAAAAGATCTTTGATAAGTACCTTCTTGAGATAAACAAAGAGCTTTCGTATGTTCACTTTGAGTTGAGGGCTTGTAGAGATCAGTATGATGGTCAAGTTTGTTACGGTGTTGTTAACACTGTCTCTGATGATCAATCAAAGTTAGGGACTAAGTACTCTGTTCCGCAGATTGCTTTCTTTAAAGGCATTGTAAGTGTCCTGGCTTGTCTTTTGTTCCTAGTTCAACGAATGTCGTTGTCATCTTTTGTGAATTTAACTAAGTACAAAGATTGGAGTCTCTTATGTCCCTCTCTTTTCTTACTAAATTTGCAGTGAGGTGTGATTTGTACTACTTTGTCATTTGGAATTGATGACTTTTTTTTGCTTACTTCTGGCAGATAGAAGCTATTGCACAGGATGAAGCTGCTCAAGGTTGCATATCAGGCTTTGATGCCCTCAATATCCGATTGGAGAATCAGGTCACTCATCAGTTAATCTCAACTGATCATGTTGACTTTAAAAACCGCTACTATCTTACAGAGTCACTTGAAAGTATTCTCATCTCTTTGAGTTGTAGTCTGAAACACTTTTAGACTTGTTGATCAGATATCAATCATTATTCTGAGTTATATTCTTCTTGGGTGATATAAAGTGTTTCGTCCCCGTTTATAACCGTTTAATCACTATAGAAAGTGAATCTCAGTTCTCTCAAGCATTTATCTTCCATCTGTTTGGTAACGACAATTATTTGGGATATGACCAAAATTTTATCATTGCTATTCAATTGGTTGGACTATATAACTTTAGTCTTTTATTACGGTTGACAGATCTTGTGTTGATATCTCAGTTACCAACTGAAGCCAGCAGCAGTCAACAGCAGCAAGTCCCACCTGCATTCAAGAACTTCTCAATGTCACAAAAGGACAAAACTATCGATGAGCTTGTAAGGGACAAATGGCTGTTCCGCACAGGAGATGGTAACGTCGGACTTGGTATAAGATCTCTTCTTGACCTGCGCAGTTGGTTCAGGAACAACGATGTTCCCTCTTGTGAGGTTTGCAATGAAGCTGGAGTTAAGGTCTGCATTCTGAATAAAATTTATAGGATTCACATTGTGATATGTTCTGTTTGCTGCTTATCTCGTATCTGATTCTTTGTTTTCTGACACTTGTTTCCAGGCGGATTTGTGTCCAAATGAAGGCTGTACGGTCCGGATACACAATTACTGTCTCAAAAACTTGTTATCTCAAAGGGTATACACACACAGCTTCTTTAGATTTTCGCTCATGCATTTGAGTCGACATCATTAGTATTTAACTTTCTGATCACGTAAAATTTGCAGGATGATAAAGTTTGCTCAGGCTGCGGGAAGCCATGGCCTTTGGGTAAAATTGCAAAAGAAGAAGCTGTTGAAGCAGCAGAGAATGATGAGGAGGAGGAAAACGAGACACAAGCTACAGCTTTAAGATTCAAGAAAAGAAAACAAAGGAGCCAAAGAGACTCTACTGAAAACGTTTCTTCTCAAGCTTCTTTAGCCTCTGGTAGTGGTAACGGTAGGAGAAGAGTAACTCGTAGCGCTGCACACTTAACTTAAGTTTTAGGGCTTAGATGTATATTTTGCTGCCTGTTTTTGTGTCCAAACATCACTGGAAATTTGGTTGTCTAATGCTTTGGATCATCCAACATGATGGATGGAGTAAAACTCTTTGTTTTGAGCCTACAATATATATTTATGTTGAAGCTCCGAGGATTCATTTTCAATTGCAGTTTCAACTTATCCAGATGGATAACATGTCCTTTCAGCACTTCCCATCAGGTGTATGCTATCTCATTCACTTCAACGCATTACTTCTGAATTATGATTAGTTTTATATATATATATATATTTGAGGTTCAATGGAGGGATAAAAAATGTAGTTCAACGACAGAAAAAAAAAGCAAGAAACAAAGCTATGAGCTAGAAAAGAAAACACATGAGCTTATCTTCACCCGTTCCAAGGCATGGATAAGCCTTCTACTTGATTTTGCTGATTGTTCTCCATCCCTACTGTTTGAACATGGACATTGGGATTATGATTCATCACCGAAGTAGGACTCGCATCATCAACCAGACCAAACCGGTGACCAAAGAGATAGTCATTGTAACCTCCTCTTTCAGCTGCTTTTGGTCTGTAGAGATTGTTGGATTGAGTAAACTGTTCCGGGATGCTCTGAACTTGCTGCTGCTGCTGCATTCCCACTTGACTCTCCGGTTCGTTCCCATAAAAACTCTGGTTATAATCCGGATAAGGAGCCACTAAACCGGAAGGCATACCAAAGGGTTTAGTGGGTTGTTGGTAAAAGGGTGTGGGTTTATAAGGACAAGTCATTTGGTGATTCTCTCTTAAGACCCTGTCATTGAATCCCATCTGTGGTTGGCTATAAGGACAAGAACTGTTCTCACAAGTCAGGTTAGTTCCTGACATCCCTACATCTCCTTCAAACCTCCTCTTGTTGTTATAAACGTTGTTAAAGTCACTGTCAAATTCAGGAAACTGCTGATTGAGACAATGATGAGAAGATCCAGCACTTCCTTCAACATCATAATCTGCAGATTCATAGAATAGAGAATCCGTCCCTCTGGCAACAAAAGAGTTGTTTTCATCTAAGAAGGTTAAAGGACGCTGCTGACTCTGAACAAAAATGGCCTTCTCTTTGTTCAGAGCAGCGAGCCATAAAGAGCCTTCTCTTGAAGTCATCTTCTCCTGCAAAGTTCTAGACCTTCTCACAAGCGTCGCTATGTTGTTAATGTCTGAAGCCATATGTTTGATCACACCAATCAAAACACCAACTTTCCACAGCTTCTTGAGATCATGAGGCTTCTTGTAAGGAGGAGGAAGTCCTCTACAATCCTCAGGTAAAGACAGATCACCCCACCAGTCTTCTCTCCCCGTTGGCCACCAAGGCGGCGTCACTTCTTTCCAGAAAGGAAAACGTCTCTGAGGAGGATCGCAGTTAGGCATCAAAACCGATAAAAGAGCTCCAAGAGTTGTATCTTGCATCTCAAGTAACTTCTGTGCAGTACACTCCCCATCCTCTAATTCATTTCCATCAGTAGAGAGATTCATCTCTCTTTGGTGTTTCTCTATAGCAGCTGGTCCGTTCCTATCAAACCTCACTTTGTCTTTCCACCATTCACGTAGATTATCAGAAGACCCCGTTACGGTTTTCCCGTTCTCAAAGACAATCCCGTAAACGAAGCCTTGAGCATTACAACGCTCCGTTGCTCTAGACATGTACTTAAAGATCACATCTTGTGCCTCGTACATCATTCTCTTGCTAGAATTTTCATCAGGAGGCTGATTCAACGATGTTCTTCCTAACCCGTTCTTGGACATCTCCTTGAGCTGCTTTAAACGCTGCTTGTCTTTCCAGATCTTCTTCTTAAGCTCCTCTATCTCCATTTCTTCTTCACTCATAGAGTTACGCGATGCAGAACACACATCTCTCTCGGGAAACCGAGGCACAGAGCTTGATGCTGAACAAGGGAACGTCCCTGTACTGGTGTTATTCATTTTTTTAGAGGAGAGAAAATGATCATATCACCCTGCAAAACAATATGACGTCAACATTGTTTCAGTTCAATAATAAAATTACATAAAAACAAAATGAAAAATGGAGATTCATATGAATTCAAAGGTCGAGCGATCCAAATATCAATTGGTTATTATGATAGATTCTTGAAGTGAGTAACGTATCATGAGGTTCCAAGCAGACAAACAATACGTAAAGACAAGGGAAAAAATAAAACAGAAATCGAAGGAAGAACATAAAGTTACCTTGAAATCTCTAGAGACCTTTTTGTTGTTGCTTCAGCCTCAAAATACTAAACAAAGAAGCAACTTGACCCCAGAGACAGAGAAAGAGAGAGAGAGAGGGAGACAAAAGACATATATAGATGTGTATCTCGATAAATAAGGAGCATTAATTTAGACTATGAAAGGGTGCTATGATGGAACACCTTAAGAAATCATAATAAGAGCCAATGGATATTGTAAAATTTTCAATATCTTCTTTGAGTTTCATTCCATTTATAATTTAGATTTTGTTTTAACTAAATTAGTTTTTTCAATAAAAATCTAACAAATCCATAAAATATAATTTTCACCAGAATTATTGTACTAAATTTTAATTTTATATTTACTATAAAAAATCATTTAGCAAATCAAAGACATAACTCATTTTCAGAAAAAGAATTAAATAACGATTTTATCATTATTAAATTATTGATGTTTAATGGACAATTTATATAAATAAATATAGCATTGTTTTAAAAATCAAATGCAATTTTACGCAGGAAAAAATTCAAAATCAAACTGTAACAAGTTTACGTGAGAAAATATTTAAAATCAAATTGTAACAATTTTACGCGGGAAGCGGTTTATCATTTCAAAATTGTAGTGTCTTCACTATATTTAGAATATCAAATACATTGTAATATGTAAAATAAATTTTGGAAAATATAAATAGAAGCTAACACAATTGTAATAGAATGTTATATTCACCAAACAATGAGTACATCGTTGTACAACTTATAATAGGCTATGTTTGTTTTACGTTGCGGTCTGCGATAAATCGCTGATATATACTAATTTTCATGGATTCTGAAATTTAAATACAGTATTATTTTATTTCTCTAGTAAATTGATATGCTTAAGCAAGTATGTAACTATGTCCACTACAAATTTTGATAATAAGAATAATGATATTTTTGTACTACATTTTTATTTATTTTGATGGTAGATGAAAAGGAAAAAAAAACTGGCAGAGTAGAAAGGAAAATAATATTTGCAGCAGTAACTAAATTTAATACTCTTTATTATTTTTTGAGAAATCTTTAAAAGAACTCTAGTTTATGGTCAGAATTCAATTCAATTAAAAAATCTAAATTGACAGCTTGATTTCCTTCTAAACATGTAAAAGCATATAATATAAAAAGGGTAAAAGATCAACTATATATTTATATATATATATTTTTTTTTAAATATGTGTGTCTATTTTTTGTAAATTGATGACAAGAGGTGATATGTTTAAGGGGAAATTGTTTTTTTAGACCAAAACAATGGTAACATTGGCTCCTTAGGCTAATTTTTTTTGTACCATTTTTTCTATAATACTCTTTATTAATTTTGAAAATAAATTAAATAAATAATTTTAGAAACCAAAAAAAACAAAAAAAAATAACTAGTTATGAAACATCAATGTCAATCTAGTGGTATTTTTTTAAGTTCTAAAAATGTATAAATCTTTTTTCAAATTATATTCTACATAAAGTAGAAGTGACATTCTACAAAGTAGAAAATGAAATTCACTTTTTTCCTTAAATCTACTATGTTTAGAATACACATTCCACGCTTAAACTATCTTTCTAAAATCAGTAGAAAATGGATTCTACATATTGCTATAAATCTAAAAATAAGTAGAATTCAGAATCTACAAATTATTATAAATCTAAAAGCTGTAGAACCTGATTTCAAACCTTATTATTGTATTCTACAACACATTCTACGGATAAGAATATTCTGTTCCGAAAATATAGGAAGAAAATATTTGAAAAATATTCTTGATTAAAAAATAATAAGTAAAATCGTTATTTTGATTAAATTTTTTTAAAAAAAAATCGTTTTTTTAATTTGAAAAGTAAAAAAAAAAAAAAAAAACTGATTTGGGAACTCACGCCATCTTCTCCTTCCTTCACAAAAAAAATCACATTGGCTCTACCATGATTCATGTCTATGCTTCATATGTTTTTTGGGAATTGGTTGTAGCTTCAGGTTGGAGTTTTTCTGTTGATGAAAAGAAAGGGGAAAGATTACTTGCTTTAGAATTAAAGTGTTCTTTGGAAGAAACGACCGATTCTTTCTGGGATCGATCGATCCCGTCATATAGTATTAGAGATTAGTCTAAAGGGATAATGTTACCATTTTTTTTGCGTAAAAAAACTATTTTTCTATGTTTAAAGTGTCGGTTTCTATTGCAAGATGTAATTTCTGTATAAAGTAGTTATTAAATTATGAAAGATTGACCACCCTCAGTTAGAGAGAGTCGGTAATGAAACAGGTAATAATTTCATTTATTTAATGGTTATCCTTTAGAGATGTCAACTAAATATCTAAATATCATATTTTATTTAAAAGTGAAAATGAAATACTGTATATAGTACAATTATAAACTATACGGTATGACATTTCAAAAAAAAAGAAAAAAAATACCAGCATGATGTTATTAATTTTTATTTATTTATAACATAATAGTATAATGTTTTATTTGGAGAAAATGTGAGAGATGCAATGTATAGAACCAATAGGCAAGTACACCAGTGCCACGGAAGCACGTTTCCATCGCCAGGGAGTGATTCTATAAACTGTCTGAAACGTGTTTCCCGGGATTTTCCTGTCGGCTACTCTCACAACTATTGGAACCCTCGTCGTCGTTTTCTTCTTCTGATACATTATTATGCACATTAGCTTACTAAAGTTTATTATAGAGTGATGTGACTTATGCAACTATCTATCGTACACCTTAACTAACTAACGACCACTCGTGTATTGTTTTATAACCTCCTTGCATGCCTTGAAGCAAAATGTTTCAAACGGTCACCGAACTTATCCAAATGATTTAAAGATTTTCTTACTCTCTTTTCTACAGTACACTCAACATTTTCACCTTTTAAAAAGTACATGTCTGTGGTGTCCACGTTGTAATAAGAAATAAGCTATGGCTGTTATTTATCTGAAACTTGAAGCAAGTCAGGGAACTGTACGCTAACGCTGCCATGGCCTCAAGAACCGAATCAGACCGGTTAATTGGATCATTGAAAGGTCGAACTACGTATCCAACCGAACCAACAAACCAAATAACCTGAACCGAAGTGAACATCTTTTACGCCCGTCATGTAAAAAGGCTGACACTGAGGGCCCAAACCGAGTAGTGTCTCCTTACTCAGGCCCAATGTTCTTGACACGTTCCATTTTTATTTTTCTGTCTGGTTCAGATGAAACAATCAAAGGGTCCCGACAATCAACAATAACATTCTCATAAATTGCATAAAATCGGAAACAGATACGTGGAACTGAAACGTTTGAAATGTAAAAACATGATTTAAAAAAAATTAAAATATTGAAATAAAAACGTTTTGGAAACGTCTATAATTATATATATATATGATTAATTAACATGCAAATTTAATGTTTTTGTTTAATTTATCTAAGGGAAAAAAATAAATAATACAAGTGTTATTTTTCTTGGTATATTTGATAAAAAATTTAATCAATCATTAGAAAACTATTACATGTTTACCGTTCGATAAAACTATAGATTCGATTTCTTAACATATCAAATCATTATATATTAAACTGATAACAAATATCAAAAGATAATATTAAAATATAAGTAACAAACTTGTAATCATTAACATCAAATGACAAATAATTATTCTTTCGCATTTTCAAGTAAGATCATAAGTTTCCAAATCAGAAACAACTATTGTGTCTCCAATGGAATTTTCAAAAGCGCGTTTCCAAAAAAAATTCTCAAATTTTTAGATTCTCATTCTAAAACGGGAAACGACCTTACAGTTTCCATGCAACCTAGCCCATAACCGACTAGCCAATAATACCAATAACATGAACAAATCTTTGGTTTATAACACAGTACACACACAAAAGAAAAAAAGCAGCTCAAACGCCACCTCAATATATAAGAGCACATTTATCTCAGCATCCTATTAGAAGGTGTTTAATTTTTTTTTCTCGAATTTAAAAAAAAAGTAATAATAAAAGAGACTAATCGCAAACCGCTATATGTTGTGGAGTCCGCGAGACTGGCCAAGCATTAACCGAGACTAGGCGCTTATATTGCCTCACTAATAAACACTTAGTATTTGTTTTTTTTTTGTAGACCCCCTAAGCACTCCCTAAGCACCTAGGATAAATGCGCTCTAAATATTTCAACATACAGAAGACTGTTCCGGTTTATAAAAAATTGTTTAGTTCAACCGCCTCATCAATCCGGCTTAGTCTCAACAACAGCTATACCAATAACAAGAACCAAGAGTAGGTCTACACCTGACGATACACACACAAAACAAAAAGCAAACTCAAATGACGCCACAATACAGACTAAGTATTGCAAAAAAAAAAAACTAAGAGTTGTTTCGGTTCATGAGGAAATGTTTGGTCAAACCACAACCTAACGCCTCATCAGGTATCTTACCAATCCGGTTTACTCCCTCAGCAAAAACCACACCCATACCCATATGCAAATGCGGCTCAATATGACAATGAAAAAACCAAACCCCAGGATTATCCGTCACAAATCTCAACGCCGTCCATCCGTACGGATACAACGCCACAGTATTCCGTAACGGCGGGTTCTTCAAGTTATACGTCTTCTCATCAACCCCTGCCCGAAACTTCCCTTCACCATACCCCAAAACCCAAAAATCATGCCCATGTAGATGCCAAGGATGTATCTCACTAGCGTTCGCGTCTAAACCGTTGGCGTTTTGTAGAAT